TCTAAGCACATCAGTGGAAGTACTCATGCCTAAAATGAACCAGGTGCTTAGTACTTCCAGAATTATGGTAAATCTATATTCCTGAATTTATAAAGTAGAAGCTTTTTCTTACTGTTCAGATTAAACTTGTATGTGAAACTCCTTTAATCGATGCTAGTGCATATCTACTTTATTACTTAAAATGTCCTTTTTGAAAATGTTTTGGAGGAAAAAAACTTTCCTTTTTATTATGTGTATTCTTTTTATTATGTGTATTCTTTTTTTAGAGCAAAATGACGACAACTGTAAGATATGAACAGGGGCCAGAGCTGCTCGAACCAGATGGGTGAGTAGTCCACCAGAAACCATAACCAGTAATAAGGTCTGTAACCTCTTGTCTATCTTTTGGGGTTTCCTTAATGTTCATCAATATAGTATGTAAGCACTTGCAGATGAGAGTTTGTATTTGAAATCACTGGCTTTGAAAGGAGGCTGCTTCAATTGCTTATATTTTCACTATGCAAAGTGTATGTTTCATGAGGAGTGGAGTGCAGGCTTATGGAAACCTAGTTAAAATTGCCAATTTTTATAACATAAATATTGAAGAATTGGAACTGAAGAGCATTCCTTAATATAATATTCTGTTTGGAAGTGTATAATATATCTAACCTGTGGCAGGCTATGTGATCTTATTCCATTTTAGGTGGCTTTCTTGCATTTGTCAGGCTATGGAGCTAACTTCTTCAGCAGTTTAACTAAATCTTCCTTCAAGGGGAACTAAGCTTATTGTACATGGAAAAACAACTCACCCAGTAACACTCCACTGTTACCATTTATTAAAGCTATGGTGGCAGTTGATGTGGAATTTCTATTTTATTGCAATGTAAATTAGAATGGGCAGCAAGCTGACCTGTGAATTTCCATGTTTCAGTACATTGGGAACAGAAGGTTAAGGAGCAAGACCATCTCCAAAGATGTTCCTATCCCTGATGGAGTTAAAATTGTAAAGGCTGCTTTTCAGAACAGACCATTCTACTTGCACTTTTAAAGAGTTGTTTTTGTAGGCTAGAACAAGGCTGATTGTGGATATCAATGAATAGGTTGATTCCACTATGCTTACAAATACATGGCAAGATGATGCTCTTAGGAATACCTGGGATACTATAGCCCTGATTTTTAGCATAGTCTTAAACCGTAGGTGAGATCCACACAGAGTTAGGTGAATAGAAGAATCACAACAGCACTGTAATCCACAAAAGTAAGTTAAGCACACAGGCTCCCCATACTGTGTGAGGAAAAATGTGGAGCATATTCTCAGACATCTAACAGCTAGCATGTTAGGCAGGGAGCAGTCTAAGCTAGCTAATGGGAAATGTGAATCCACGGGAGCTGTGCAAGGCCCTATATCTCATTTGATAGGTGTCTGTTTTTGTTCAGTGATTCAGGAACAGGAACCAGACACCTTGAGCATACTTCCTGTGGGAATGAGTTGTACTTGTCTGCTGCACACTAAATGGGGGCTTTGGAGTACAGAGTGGGCCAGGCAGCTGCTACTGTCCACATTATAACTTTTAGCCTAATGGTTAGGGCACTCACCTGGGATGTGAGTAACCTGGATTCAGTCCAGCCTCTCTGGCAGAGTGGGAGAGGATTTGAACAGGGGTATCTCGCTTCTTAGGACTATAGACTAATCTGGGATATTCTGCTGTGAGGATCCCTCAGTCTCCCCTGTTGAACTGGTTCCACTGTGTATAAAGTTATTGAATGAGAGAGTATGGGAATGACTCTGCAGTCTGGTGGCTGGGGGCCCAGGTCCCCACGCCAATCACTTCCATTATTTATCCACAATGGAAGAGCTTCACAAGGACAGATGCAGGAGCCACACACCAGAATATCCCATAATTAGTGGTTAGAGCACACTGACCCTTTAGGGTTAGTCAAGGGGTTCAGGATGATGTGCTACTTCCTGCTCACAGCAAGAAGCCTTGCCTGTGCCCTCAGGGGGAAATTTGCTCAACTACTAGCTTCTGGCCACACCAGTGCCCTATTCTGGGTACTGCGGGGGCTGTTCTATCCCTATGCAAGAGAGCAACTTGCACACCCTAGTCTTTATGCTCCCTTAGTTAGGGATGTAAGATGTTAAGTGGTTACCTGGTATACAGGCAGCTTATAGGCCTGCTTACAAGGTAATTTGTTAGGTGGCCTGGCTGGCTGGATCCTGCCCGCAACTGCAGCGGGCCCAACTGGAGCAGTCCCTTTCCTCTGTCTTCCTCCTGGCTGCAGTAGAGCTGGAGCACATGCTAGGGCCAGAGGAACCCCCCACTGCTTGTGCCTGGGATCATAGGTATGGTATAACATGACTAGGGCTGGCACATGCAGCTGGGCTGAACCAGCCCTCACTGGCTGGGGCCAGAGTAGTTCCCTACCCCCGACCATGGTCTGTCATGTCACGGGGGGGCAGAGGAGGAGGGTGGGGGGGAAGTGTTTTCTCCAGGGTTAACTGGCTAAACCTAGCATTTAACCATCTAACATTTTATACATCCCTACACTCAATTAATTCTTTGAGACCTAGCAGAGAGACCCTGTACTTAAATCTAGGGAAATAGCTAACCCCCAATATCCTGCTTTGGCTCTGGGTACGGTTCCCTTCAACCTGTCTGTACATCCCACTCGAATGCCCATTGCCTCAACTTCTGGCAAAGCTTAAAATAAGGGTTGGAAACATAAGATTACAGATAAGAAAAACATAAATAGCTATTAGTGCTAGACTAGATTTTAACACTGTAATATACTTCTCACCTAGCAAGTGTTAATCCATACAGCACTTCTCCAGTTGACCTGGGATTTAGCTTTCATGTGTAGATGACCAGACAGCCTGATATTAGTATTTTGTGCTTATATAGGCACACTGTCCCACACTGAAAAGTTCCTCTTTTTCACACTTTATCTCTGGCCGCCCAATTTGAGACATTCATTCTGGCAGAATGTAGTCTCTGTAACTTATATTATCTTGTGCCCTTTTTTCTCCTATTATACTGTTCCAGACTTTGTCTCATTTAATAACACAAGTTAGGCAGGTGAATGCTTGTGTTTTGGTTTGGCTTGAGTTGCTCTGTGTAGGTATCCAGACACCTATCTCCTGCCTAGAGTGAGGCATCTGGGCACATGCTCAGAGGCAGAAACAAGGGTTACTGAAAGACTCTTCCTGCAGAATTGTAGGTGCTGGGTTTGGCAGGAGTCTGTGGATCTAAAATGATTTTAGGTGCCTATTTCTGGGGCTTAGGCATCTAAGTGTCTCTGTGAATCTTGAGCTATGCATATGCTTAATTGACTTGTTTGGAACCAACATAAATAGAACATATAGCAAGATGAATGGCTTATGAGGTAACTTGTCATAATATTAAACTATTCTTTAAAATGTCCATTTTTTGCTGTGGTGCTTAGGCACATAGCCTATATGTAAATATATAGGCACAAGATATGCATTGAACTTTCCACAATAGAGTACAGACAGCCCTATACTGCTGCAAATGAATAGCTCAAAATAGAAAACTCTAAACAAATGTTAACCCCTCCCCCCATAAGACTAATTTACCTATTCCTGACTGGATCCTAAATGATATGATATCCAAAGACCTTTTTGACTGACATTTCATTAATGGGGGAAAATGGCAGTAACTTAAACAGTATTGCTATCCTCAGGAGCCGAAAAGACTTGAAGAGCTCTGTGTAAGCTCAAAAGCTTATCTTTATCACCAACAGAAAGTGGTTCAGTAAAAGATACTGTCTCACCCACCTTGTCTCTTAAATCATGACTCCAAATTTAAAATCATAACACTTAGCTAAATTTCTCTATTTGCCTTGGCATTTTGATCATTAAAGTTCATATCTTCACAACCATGAGGGCTACAAACTTCTTAAAATGAACGTGGAGGCTGTTTCACAATGAATGATGCTGTAGCTGGGGGTTTAAGAACTGCCAGATGTTGTTAAACCTGTAATGAAATCATGGACACTGGAAAATCTGCTTAAACTGAATGGTTGGATTTGAGGTTAGCAGAAAGGCTTAAGTCGTTTTATGTGCACTCTAATGAATTAACAGTCAAACTTGAAAAATGTTTGCCTCAACACGTTTATATTTTTAGTGTATAAACACATTAGTATGTTTAAATTGCTGGTTCCAGGCAATGCTGCTGCAAAGCATATGCCAGTTAACTATCCAAAATGTGGAGCCAAGGAGAGTTTGAAAATGACGTGACTCTACAATACAATTACAAAACTGGGTTCTGCATAATCTTTGAATTTCCTCACTGGGTCATTACATGCTACAGCTGTTGTCTCTTATTTGGTCTGTTTTATTAAAGTTCAGAAGGAAGTAATAAAGAACTCTTCCGAATGGCTCATTTTAAGAAGGTGTAAAAATGCTACTCTAGCACTGGTTTGCTTCATGCTGTTCCACTCTCCCTTTCCTGTTTGGTATCCTGTTCTGCACAGAGACGTATCTGTACTACAATTTTCCTGATGCAAACATTCGTGCTCTCTCCATAGTTCCTTCCTGTAATAAGAACTAGGCATTTTAACTTGCTGGAATAGTTTTGCATCTATGCAGTGCCAGCACTTTCTGAGCATGTGCTCTGTATTAGAATTGTTCTAAACTGGTTCCTAAACTGCTTGCGAATGTTTTTAGCTTACTAAAGAATATATATTTAATTCACTCTATGGAGTCCATTTCGAATGCTGAAGATTGAGTGGCATGCCTTTTTTGTGAGGCATTGATCAAGTGTTAATAAGTAACGAGCTGCTACAACAATGTATAGGTGAGTTATCACTTAATTTCCCCATATAAGTAAATTCTGTGTAAAGTGTTAATATGTATCTGTCCAGGTTGAGTGATTGCTAATGTAATACTCCCTGAACAGAAGATCTAACGTGTTTTATGTTTAAAATAAAAATCAACTCAAATGGTATGTAAGGGCCAGCCTTAAACTGATAGGAACTTGGAAATTTATGGTTAAGGCTTTGACTACATCAGTCAAACTAATTTAACCTCACTTCTTACACTGGCTTTTTGTTGTTGTTGTTAAACCAAGAGTTTCTCCTATAGACAAGGCCCGAATCTGCTATTCTGTTGTTGCTTCTGCCTTGTAGAGGTCTGTTTGTCTAGATTCATTCAGCTGTGCCTATATATTAATAGGACAAGCAGAGTAATTTCCTGCATTCTTTAGTTAACATATCTAGTACTAAGTCAACGTGTTGTCAGTTATACAGTTAACAGATAAGCCAAGGCTTATCAGTTAATCATGTCAGCTATATGTATTTCTCCCCCCCCCCCCCCCCCCCCCCCCGCCCCCCCCCGCTGAGAAGCTGGCTTAAAAGCCGGTTTCCCACAAGCACCAGACCCACCTGCCCTGTGCTGCTGCCTCTGTATGGATACTGGAAAATTGTCTGTGGCTGAGCAGAAGGGGAAGGAAAGCTCAGCCTATTGCTATGATAATTAGCAAGGAGACTATTAATCTCTAGGTGCCAATACACATCTCAGGAATGTGACTGATACCTAAGGGCTATCAGCATGGGACACAGGGATAGGCCACTGACCAGGTGATCTGCTGCAGCCAAGAAGATGCCAAAGGAGATATATGTGCCATGTGGCACCCTCCATCTTGGTCTTTAGCTCACTCCTGATCCCAGAGGCAGCCTTGCAGGGAACCACGAGCTGGAAAGAACTGTGGACCCATCCTGACATAGCATGTACACCAAAGACTATTAAGCCAGCAGTTATAACATCTCTGCTACGAGCCTGTATCAAGAACTGGATGATTCGATGCATGTCATGTATTATCCTTTAACAACCTTACTCTCATGCTTTTCTTTCTTTTAATAATAAACCTTTAGATTCTAAAGGATGGGGCTCAGTGTGAACTTGTGGGTAAGATCTAGAGTGTAATTTGACCTGGGAACTGTGACTGGTTTCTTGGGACTGGAAGAACCCATTTGGGGTAGGTGAGATTGGGTTCTATAACCCTTTATCTGTATTAGGCCTGGGACTGATTGGGGCACAGGCAGAGCTAAGGTGTCTGAGGGTTTTGCTTGTGAGGCTTCTGGCTGGCCAGGTAGGCAGCTGAAGTGCTCTGTGTGATTGGTTTGTGGCCTATTTGGGAAGGGCCTCCAGTCAGAGGTTATGAGGATCCCTGAGTTCGAGTAATTTGCCCTGAGCGGATGCTCTCAGTTGTGCCCAGACCCAGTCTGTGTCCCAGTGGTGTAGTCGGCAGGATCCACAGATCTTGGTCAGTTGAGCTTTGGATCAGAACCCCACGCTGTCTAAATTTGATTTTTGGTGTTGAGAGTTTGGTTGGTTAAAGAGCAGCTGAAATGAGTCAGCAACCGTATGGGAGTCTAAACAGAGAGGCTCTGAAGGAGTTGTGCTCAGAGGCATTGACTTTAGGAAGAAAGCTACTAAGCAGCAGCTGACATCTTCGCTAATGTGGAATGATCAATATTGGGGCAAGAGAGTGGCTACCACCCGATGCTACAGATGTGGTTGCAGAAGTAATTAGAAAGCAGTAGTCATTGAAGAAAATGGAGCTGGAACAGGAGAGGGCCCTTGCCGAGATGGCGGCAGAAAATGAGGGCCTTGGCTGAGATACGTCAAAAGGAGAGCGAGGCATCAGCAGAAGAGGAGAGTGGCCCACGCACAGCGAATGGAAGAGCTGGTGATGGAGGAGAGTTCCAAGCAGCTCCAACTCCGAATACTAGAAGAGCAACAAAAGATATCACAACCTGAGAGCTCACCCCCACTTGCCAACAAGAGTTGGGAAAGGATCTGTCCCATCTACAACGGTAATGAGGATATTGAGGAGTTTTTGGCAACCTTTGAATGTATTTACAACGTGAACCGGATCCCAGATGACCAACGCATGCCTGTCCTGATGACAAGACTGACTGGCAAGACCAGGGAGGTATTTAATGATCTGAGGGAGGAAGGGCGGATTAAAGACTATGCACTGACATGGTTCAGGGTTACCCCTGAATCCCACTGGGTTAAATTCAGGAGCTTTAAAATGTCTAGTGATTGTACTTGTGATTAAAGACTATGCACTGAAATAGTTCAGGGTTACCCCTGAATCCCACTGGGTTAAATTCAGGAGCTTTAAAATGTCTAGTGATTGTACTTGTCTAGTGATTGTACTTATGTGGAATGTGCTCACAAGCTGATGGGCTTTGATTTTTGCCCCATGACCCACTTTTTAACAAACGGGAGTTGTGAGAAACTGCTGGATTTGATCACCTTGGAGCAGTTTCTGAATATTGTACCTGACCGGCCAGGGCAGCTGTGTGATATCGGGAGCCCAAGTCGGTCCTACAGGCTGTGGAGTTTCCAGATGCCCATACCCAAAACAGGGCGTGAGAGGGGCACAGACCCCTGGGGAAGAATCAGCACCTTTCCCTGCAGTTTAGACTAAGGGAGGGGTTCAGGAGAATACCCAGCCCTGAATTTAACAAGGGAGCTCAGAAGCCCTGAGAGCAGGAGTGTTTACCCCAAGGATGAGCAGGCCAAACGCTACCACTATGGCAGACCTGGTCATGTGAGGCCTGACTGTCCAGACCTAAAGAGCAGCCGGAGGCCAGCAGCTCCTGGCCACTCCATAACCTTAATTCAAAGAGACTTTAACACCAGATTAGAAGGAAACTTCAGAACTTTCTTTCATGCTTAAATTTGACACTTTACGAATGGGCCTTAACAAAGATGCTAATTACCTTAACCATTACAAAGATAGCTTCCCTACTTATCACCCCTGATTAGCCATTCATTGACTTATAAATAGCTATTCCCTCCTTCCTCTCCCTCACCCCACCTTCTGTACTAAATCTGATTTGACAGTGTAATAATGTGTTCACTTTTTTCATTGTATTCCTTTGGTATATTTGGTCATGCCCAGAGCTCACTGAGCCACGGCAAGCCCTGCTTGCCAGCTGCACTGTCCAGCGTTCTGCGCAGATCACCCGAACCTGGGTCTTCCGGGATGTAATCTATTCGCCATGGGCAAGTAGATTACATAGATTGGGCGAGTAGATTGTCAAGCCCTGGTCATGCCAGTTCTCTTCCAGAATATGATCTGAGGAAGTGGGTCTGGCCCACAAAAGCTCATCACCTATTAAACCATCTTGTTAGTCTTTAAAGTGCTACATAGTTTTTCCTTTTGTTTTTGCTTTAAGTGATGCTCAGTGAAGTAGCTAGGCCTCAGAACATGCCTGTGGCAGCTCCTTTCTTTTTATCTGGCTGTTACTGAGAGCAGCGCACAAGCAAGTGTACTGCTCTAAGTAATAGCCTGGTGTTTGGTAACAAGTGTCTGTAAGGCACTGCCTAGTCCCAGCACCCAACTCATTGCTAGTAACTCATTAGGTAGTATTAATTCAACAAAAAATCCTCACTATCCTGGGCTATAGCTTCCAAGGGTTTTCCCCTTTGCCTTTCTCAGTTCCTGCTTCAGGACTTGCAGCAGAATTATTCTGTGTGCTAACTGAGCACTACTTTTCAGTGGTATTTCGTCATCCAAGGACTCATGCTGCCTCTCTAGGAAGTTTTCTGCTTCCGGAGCATTGTTGAGTCTTACATCTGCTCAATAGCCCGAGATGCTGATCCAGTGTCTTGATCCCAGTGGAGGGCCCCCATTCTAGCACAGGAGAGCTGCACATGCATTATTTCAAAGGGCCAGCCATCCCATGACCTTGTCTGACTTGCTGTCTTTGGCAGGTTTCAAAAGACAGAGGAGGCCAGCATAAAGATTGATGATGGCTGCGCTGAGGACAATGAACCAGACACTTGCTCCCGGTAAGTTTTTTAAAGTTTTCTTCATCTTTGTACACCAGACAGCTTATTTTGCCCAGCAGTTTCCCAAGCCAAAATTGAGACAGAATTGGGGCTTGCTGACATGCAGAAAAGGAGCTCAGGTCATTGTGTAGTAAAGAAACCTAATATCATAGATCCAGAAGACTTTATGTATTTGCTTCCAATCTTACTAGTTTTTATAAAGCATGAATTAACTTACTTAGAGAAATATCCTGAGTGTTACTTTTGGGAAGCTAATTAGTCTGAAATATATAAAGTAGAAATACCTAGTAACAAACCATGTCTGTGACTTAGTTTTAATGATGAGTTTCAGAGGAGTAGTCATGTTAGTCTGTATCTGCAAAAACAAGGAGTCCCATGGCTTGTAGAGACAAAACATTAAAAATATTGAGAAGTTAAATCTGACTCAAGTTGCAAAAGTGAGCATTACAAACATGAAATCTTCCAGAGTATCTTTGCATCTTGTGGTGAAGGTACACTAGAAAGAACAAAGGAAGGCTTATTCGAGTGCGTGGCCCTGCCATGAGGGCAGGGGACTGGACTCAATGACCTCTCAAGGTCCTTTCCAGTTCTAGTATTCTGTGATCTAGTAGCTTTGTCTGATGTGGAAATTTAGAAAAGTTGATCAGAATTATGACAAAAGTGGCTGTTAAATTGAGTTAAACTGCTTGATCTGCTTAAAAAAAAAAGCCACTAAAAATAGGTGACCATATGTCCCTTTTTTCCGGGATAGTCCCGGATTTAAGTGTTCTGTCCCGGTGTCCCAATAAAGGCAGCAAATGTCGCAGAAAACCCGTTGGGATCTGGCTACAAATGGCACTGCCATTTTCTGCCCCCCGCCCCCTACCCCACCCCGGGTCCGAGACCCAGCACTAATGCAGCGCAGCAGCGACATCCCGCCTCCACCCAGCACATAAGCAGCTCTCTTGCTGCTTTGCGCAGGCAGCCAGGGCCACTGCCGGTGGCACACAGTGTGTGGAGGAGTGCCAAGCAGCCCTGCAGCAT